TTGTTCTAGTTAAGAAAAAGACTTTAATTTTTGAATTTGTTAAACATACAAGTTTTAAAACATTTGGTCAAGTAGGATCATAGGTTACTGTGAAATAATAATTATCATGATGGCAAAGACTACAGACAATACAGAAAGTTAAATAGTTGTTAGCAAAATTTTGCTTTTTTAAAAAATATATTTTTATTGATTTCAGAGAGGAAGGGGAGGGGGAGAGAGAGAGAAAGAGAAACATCAATAATGAGAATCATCAATCGGCTGCCTCCTGCACGCCCTCTACTGGGGATCGAGCCCACAATCAAGGAACATGCCCTTGACTGGAATGGAACCCAGGACCCTTTAGTCCATGAGCCAATCCTCTATCCACTGAGCCAAACCACCTAGGGCAAATTTTGCTTTTTTAATATTAAGACTTGGTTTACCTAAGCAATCAAAGTTCTGATGATAGCAATAACATACTAGTTGTACAGGAAGACTTTGTCTTTTTAGCAGATGAAATAACATTGAGTTTTAATTTTATGTAAGTACACAGTTGATATTAAAGCTTATAATACATTCCAGCTTGATCATACACAAAATTTTCTTTCTCAAGATTTCTTTTCACAGCCCTAGCTGGTTTGGCTCAGTGGATAGAGCATCGGCCTGTGAACTGAAAGGTTCCAGGTTCGATTCAGGTCAAGGGCACATGCCTGGGTTGTGGGCTCAATCCCTCCCCACAATGGGGGACTTGCAGGAGGCAGCCAATCCATGATTCCCTCTCATCATGGATGTTTCTATCTCTCTCTCCCTCTTCCTTCCTCTCTGAAATCAACCCTGGCTGGTCAAGGCTTTAAAAAAAAGGATTTCTTTTCACATACCTACAACTTTCCTCGTGATTCCCTATATATGCATTTCCATATTTACCTTCTATAACTGAAAACATGTATTCTACTTTCCCTTATTATTAGTAGCATTTTTTTAACCTCACCCAAGGATATTTCTTTCTTTCTTTCTTTCTTTCTTTCTTTCTTTCACCCAAGGATATTTATTTATTTATTTATTTATTTATTTATTTATTTATTTTTGAGAGAGGGGGGGGGGGAAGAGAAACATTGATGTAAGAGAGATCCATGCATTGGTTGCCTCTGTAATACTTTCAACAATAACATGTTTTAAAAAGTCTCAAGTCACCAAAAAATTCAAGAAAACTAGTTCTGAGCATCAACATTTACTTGAAGTCCAAAAGAATAGCTGTATTACCAAGGCTTTGACTGAAATGTTATTGCAGGTCCAATCTGATGGCCAGTCATTGGCTTTGAGAGTTCAGTCTGAGATTCCTCATGAAAGGGTCCAGAAAGCAGTGTTAGAAAGAGATGATATGATCAGTCTCTATTTTTGCTGCACTTATATTAACGAATGAAGCCAAGTTTAATGCAAACAAATTAGTTTTACTGTGATGATCTTTGGTTTAAAAAAAAAAAAGAATTGTGGAGAAAAAAATAATGTTGGTACCTTTGTAGATACTAGTTTCTAGTCCTATTGATTGTCTTTGAGGTTTTGTCATATACTGTAACCTGGACTGGATCCTGACTTCTCCTCTCCTCAAATATCTGGCTATGACTGGCTCCCAAGTGCACTCCAGACAGTGGAATTATCTTGCTCCCAGTAATCATAGTAATCATCCTAGCACACTGTAGTCTCTCAAAGGCTTTAAGTGCAGGTTCTCAGTGGCTCACCACCAAGCAGATGATCTTCCTAAGCCTGGAACATCAAAAAAGAAATGAAGAGAATAACCAACTTAAAAATAAACCTGAAAAAAAAGAAAAGCAAGGGATGTACTGAAAAACAAAAATAGACAAATTCCTATCTTTATGAAGTGTAGTCTAATTTTAAAGCCAGATATTAAGTAATGATACAAAATATAAAAAGTATAATTATTTATAATAAAATAGTTTTCTATGAAAATTTAAAGTAGGAGGTTAGGTAAGGTGTCCTGGAGAAGTGAAAGCAGAAGCAAGATTTAAAGATTAGGTGGGTGGAGAGGAAGAGGAGAGGGTTAAGGGGTGTTCCCTGCAAATAAAAGACATGAAAAGGCCTTTGGCTGGTTTGAAGATTAAGTAAAGGAACTGAAACAATGATAATATGGCATCCAATTATGTTACTATATAAGGCTAGAGATGTAGGTCAGAGCTAGGTCACAAAAGGTTTTTGTGGGCCTTGTTCGAGATCTTGATCTGTATCCATTGGAATAAATCTGACTAATGGGAATCCATTGAAGAATAAAACAGAAACAAAAACAAAACAAACAAACAAACAAACAAAAATGAACCTGAAGTCATGATCTGCGAATACCAAAGAGAATCAGAAGAAAAAAAATCACACAGAGGATCAGTAAAAGCTGTGAGAACTACAGAATAGTGGTAGCTGAGAGTGTGCAAATGCCTTAAGTTTTAATCACATCTCTCAGGCTGAGACTCTGAGCAAAATGGGCGAAATTGTTTAAATAAATAAATAAACAAACAAACAAACAGACACAAAATAGATGATATGAGCAAAATGGGTGAAATTGTTTAAATAAATAAACAGACAGACACAAAATAGCGTCACTTGTCCCTGAACAGCAAATCAAGATTTTATTGTAGTTTCCATCTCTCCCAGGTTTGTGACCTTTAACCAGTCAATATGGCATTTCCTGATTAGCACTACTGAGGTGATCTGCATGATAGACTCCCTGCCCTTTCCCCAAAGGAAGGTGACTTGCTTGTCCCACCCCCTTCTAGCCTTTAGAAACTTTGTGTTTCCCACAGCTCCTCAGAGATCTTTTCTGTTTGCTGGGTGGGACGCTGCCTGATTGGTGAATCATTTAATAAAGTCAATTAGAGTCTTCAAATTTACTCTGTTGAATTTTTGTTTTTTTAACATGTCCTTCATGACATTAACATTTTTTTTTAAGAAAAGCAGTTATGTCTCATGAAATATATTAGACATATAACACTGTACATTTATGGTGTACATGTTAATTTAATACACTTACATATAATATGATTGCCATTGTAGCAATAATTAGCTCCTCTGTCATTGCATAATTATCATTTCATTTTGGTGGTTGGCATAATTAAATTGTAGTCTCTTAGCAAGTTTGACGATTGTACTACAATATTATTGCTATATTCACTATACTCTGTGCTAGATCTCTATGACTTACTTGCTACTTGTTGCAAGTTTGTACCCTTAAACCTCACCCCCATCCCCGTTTCTTGTGATTCTTGATGTGCTTATGATTTCTTGTTTTTGTGGCCTTATTTAGGTACCACATTTATGTGAAGTATGCAGAATAGTTAAGTCCATGAAGACAGAAAGCAGATTGGTGTTGCAGGCACTGGAGGAGGGAGGAAAACTGTGTAAATGGCTATGTGTTTCCTTCTGGGATGATGAAAATGTTTTGGAACTAGATAGAGGTGGTGGTTGCACAACATTATAGATTTTCTAGATCCCTTTGAATCGTTCACTTCAAAATGGTTATTTTTATATTATGTGAATTTCACCTAAAAATTAACTTTAAAAAATCCCAGTGTGTAAATGGTTTTGCTGCATTCCCATATACAGACCACAGATTTCTCAGCAAATAGAAATTCCATTAAAAAATAAATTGCATGACAATTGCAGTGATTTCTAATGATTAAAATAATAAATAGGAATTGCAAAATGATTTTTGGTGGCAGAATTGATATGCAGAAGAATCTATTATATTCCCATCATTAAATATTTAAAGTTTAATGTATTATGTACAATTTTGCACTTTGAAAAATTCCCATGTTTGGGATGGATGTGAAAAGACAAAAATCCAATTTAAATGAATTTTTAGTATTAAATAACAGTTTTTCTAAGAACAAAAAAATTAGTTCATTACATTTAAACATTAGCTACGGTAGGTTAAAATTCTAAGTCGAGGTAAGAATCTGGATCGCTTCTCTTCCCCTGAATGTGTGTAGTCCAGGTTTTCCTATTATTTACTTTTTACCTTCAAGCTAAACTCCCACATGGAACTCACTTCACTGTTTACTAGAATTCTCACCTGAGGATGTATTTTTATAGATATGAGAGAGAGAGAGAGAGAGAGAGAGAGAGAGAGAGAGAGAGAGAGAGAGAGAGAGAATCATCATCGATGTGAGAAAGAAACCTCAATTGGTTACCTCCTGTACGTGCCCCAACTGGGGATCAAACCCACAACCTAGGTGTGTGCTCTGACCAGGAATCTAACAACCATTTTGTATACAGATGATGCTGCAACCAACTGAGCCACCTGGCCAGTGCTACCTTGTTTCTTAACCTCTCAATTCCTTTCTCTCGTAAGTGGGAGATACATACCTTGCCACACTTGTGTGGATTAGAAGATGGGCAAATGTTTAGCACACTATAATAGATACCTAAGAGTAGCAATGATGATTATCCAAGGATTTAAGAGTATTGTCAGGAAAAGTAAGTCTTGGCTTACTGTAATGTTACTCTTTTGCAACCATTACAGTCTATAGAAACATAAATGTATTTTGAAAAATATTTTTCACACGTATAAAGTTAAGCTTTCTAAATCTGTTTTTGAAAACTGATGCCTGATGTACATGCAGTTCTATAATATGTCTCTCAGCCACGGTGTATAGTGGAACCTCAGTTCTCAAACTTAATTCGTTCCAGAATGCTGCGTGAGAAGCAATTTGTTTGAAAACCGAATCATTTTCCCCATTAGAAAATATTCACAGCACAATTTCCTGAGATGCTAACAACGCCAAGGTTTAGCGGTAAACTGATTCATATTCTTGAATTATCTCCTTTGTCACCTGCGTGATGCGTGACTTATCAGCAGGAATACTAAAGGTTATTACAGGTTATTAAGTTGAGAACCGAAGTTTTGTTTGACAACTGAGACATTTTTTTCCATGAACAAATTGGTCGAGAACTGAATTATTTGAGATGGGAGATGTCTGAGAACTGAAGTCTGACTGTATTTGCTTTGTTTTTCTCAGGTGAAAGAAAAGATGTTGTCCCGGTTAAGAGTAGTTGCCACTCCTTGTTCTCTGGCATGCCGGCATGTACACACAAAAGAAAAAGGCAAGCCCCTCATGTTGAACCCAAGAACAAACAAGGTTAGTAACATGACTAGTGACGTACATTTTCTCTTGTCCCAATGACAGTTTGATTTATATATTTTATACTGATAAAGTGAAACTTTTCTATTTTGTAGCTTTACAGTAAAACTATTCGGAGGTATTTGCTTTTTCTGCATGAACTTCACTTTTCTCCATATGGCAAGAATCATGGCTGCTTTATATCTCTCAACTCACAACTTCTACCACCAGGAAAGACTGACTATTTCTTAGTCCTAGCTCAGAAAAACCCACAGAATAGCAGTCTGGCCAGGACTTTTGATGTGGGATACTTAGATTTACCCAGTTTAGATCAAGCACTCATCCTGGACCAATCAGTTGGGCCCTTGGAAGATGGGGTCAGAATTGTAAAATGAAATTTTATGTAGCATCTGCCTCACCTTCGCACAGCTTTTTGCACACAAATCATTACAAGCAAGTGACTGTGCCCATTAATCACACTCTTTGAGAATGATGCATTCGTATTAAGGTGTGGTTTATTTTAAAACAACAGTAAGAAATTTGCCAGTCCCATATGTTTTCTCTTATGGGGTGGGGGGGACAATAATTGGATAGTATATGTTTTGAGGGGTTTGGGGTCTACAAAGGGAAATTTGACTAAGGGTCACACAGAGCACTTTATCTCTGCATTTTTGGTACCTGGCTAGAATGAAAATTGAGCAAGCAGTTAGTGAAGTAAATGAAGCCTAATGAGGCATATTCTAATCCTCTCTTGTTTCTGCCGCTTCTCCACACATCTTACTTGCTCTACAAGATGCAACTCATTGAGAATCCAGCTCTGTAGAGCCTTTGCACACCCCGTAGACTGGGATACCTGCTCCCTTCTCTAAACCCTGTAGCAGTGCCCATCTTCCTCTTCTGTGGCACGTCATCTGGATGTTGGCTTTGTGCTTCTTTTCATGTCATAAGCTGCTGTTGAAATAATAGATAGTATTTACATTTTCATGACTTTATATTTTTAAACTATATTCCAGGTTCTTCCTGAGCAGGGACCATTCAAAATTTCTTCGTATCTTTTATAACTCCATGGGCATAGTAAACATTTGATAAATATGTTGGTTTTCTTTTATTATAGAAACTATATAAACCTACTTTGTGGGGGTTTTAAGAAATTTATAAAGTATGTTGCAGGGAATGAATTTTAAGGAGGAAGATAGTCTAAATGCATTACAGTACCTCTATAAAGAAAAGAAATTCTAATACTCTGGCCTTCTGAAATCTCTGCGGTGGAATAGCATCTATACGGTTGCCTCATTAAAGGACCACTTCTGGAAATCTCTTAAGCATCAGGAAGAATTTTTTCTTGTGGTTGTATATTTAAGGAGGAACATAGACTAGTGATTCCCATTTTGAGGGTCATGAACTCCTGGGGGACTTACCACGTAAAGAAGGCAGGTTCGTGCGTCAAACCTTGTAGACTAAATGACTTTTTAAATGTTTATAAGTACTGTTTTAAGCGTATGTTGCTGCTGTGATTAATAAGCTAGTAATTAAAGGCAATACTGAATTCTTAATCCTTTTTATTATTAGTTTGTTGTTGAGAGTATTACAGATGTCCCGTTTTCTCCCTTTTTTGCCCCCCTCCACCAAATGTATATCTGCAATCACTGTCTACTTAAGGTATACCTGTTATTATTTCTGTAAAACTTTTTTATTATGGTAAATTGAACATGATTTAAAAATATGCAATTCAGTGACATTAAGTACATTCAGTATTGTGCATATGTTGCCACTGTCAATTTCCAAAACTTTTTACTACCGAAATGGAAACCCAGTACACATTAAGCAGTCTCTCCCCCACTCCCCCCTTCCCTCCTTAGCCCTGGCAACCACTACTTATTTTCTGTTTGTATGAATTTGAATATGAAATTTTTAATATTTTTTAGAAGTCCTTCTACTTTAAAGGATTGGACATCATTATGGTGCAGACTAGATGCTAATTTGAGCTCTGCCATTTACTAGGAAAGTCATTTAAACCTAAGTTTCAGTTTTCTCACCTAAATAATGTAGTAATAATAGCATTTTGAAACATTTAAAGGGCTTTACAAGTGTAAGGTTGGATTTCTCCTTCTCTCCCCGTGCTCATTTGACTGACCTTCCTATTATTTTTTTGAAAGTGAGCTCTGCATCTTTTCCTGTGGGAAGTTTTCACTTCCTAATTTGTTTCTGGAGCTCTGGTTTTATGGTTCTCAGTTTTGAGAGTTTTTGTTTGTTTTTAATTTCCCAAGCTAGTTCTCTGAGAAAAATTAAATATTTCTTGTGATTCTTACTATTTACACAAATAATGTTATGACAAATCAAAAAAGGAAAATCATGTTTTACCATGCTAATATGTCATCTTTTTTTATTTTGCCATGATCCTCTTAAAATTGCTTTTAAAACTGTAGTTTGCAGTTTTACAGGCTATTTTCCAGCACTTTGAACATGTCAGCCCACTGCCTTATGGCTGTCATGGTTTCTGGTAAGAAACTAGCTTGTATGCATGCATATAAGCCTAACCAATGGACACAGACACCAGTGGGGTGAAGGCATGAGTAGGGGGTGGGCAATGGGGGGATAAGGACACATATGTAACACCTTAATAAAGAAAAAAAAAGAAACTAGCTGTTTCTCTTCCTAAGAATTCCCTGTTTGCCTATTGAGTCTTTTCTGCTTTCAATTTTCTCCTTTTGTGTTTGTCTTTTGACAGTTTGATGTGTCTAGGTGTAGATCTCTGAATTTTTTTCTCATTGGAGATGTTGCACTTCTTGGATGTGTGGTTAATGTTTCTGATCAGATTTGAAAATTTTTTAGCCCATTATTTCTTAGATATTCTTTTTCTCCCCTGGCTTTCTGGGACTAGTGTTTTTCAAATGTTGGCGCTCTTGATAGTATCCCACAGGTCTCTGAGGCTCTGTTCATATTTAATCATTGTATGTGTTTTTTCTCAGACTGGATAATCTCAGATCTGTCTTAAAATTTGTTGATTCTTTCATCTGTTAGAATCTAGCCCCTCTAGTGAATTAAAAAATATATTTTTTATTGATTTCAGAGAGGAAGAGAGAGATAAAAACCAACCAATATGAGAATCATTGATCGGCTGCCTCCTGTGTGCCCCCTACTGGGGATCGAGCCGCAACCTGGGCATGTGCCCTGACTGGGAATCTAACCATGACCACCTGGTTCAGAGGTCGATGCTCAACCACTGAGCCATACTGGCTGGGCCCTCTAGTGAATTTTTAAATTTCAGTTATTGTACTTTCAACTCCAGAATTTCTGTTTAGTTCCTTTTTTATATTTTTTGTCTCTTTACTGACATTCTCAATAAGTCTTCCATTATTTGCCAAGTGGCTCTGTGTAACATGTTGGGGCATTGGCTTCAGTTCTTAGCCAAGTAGTTCACAACTATGTCTCAGCCCTCACTTTCTGTGTATGCAGAGCCTCAAGGTTAGCCAGAGGTGGAGTTTAGAGCCTTCTCAAGTCTTTCCTGGGTATGAAAACAGTTCATGCACATGACTTCTAGATTCTCAGGAATAAGGCCAAGGTTTTCAAAGCTCCTCCATAGACATCTGGTTCCTCAGCTTTTCCTTTTCCACTTTTTGGTTAGTCTGTTGTTTGCTTCATTTGTTACTCCCCAAGGTAGGGAGTTGCCATGTTATATAATTGCCTCTTATTGTTTTTAACAAGCTCTTCTGAGGAAAAGGCTATTCACTCTGGGTGAGCTCCAAATCAAGTCAAATAAAGACAGTCTTGCAAAAGGGTTCTTCCAGGGAACCACCCGACAGGTCAAAGAATGCCAGAGCCCTGGAGTTTTAGAAGAATCTCTAACCCCTTCCACCCTCTCCAGTGGCTGTCAGGCTCTGGTTTTCAAAGTGATTATTACACAGTGATTGCTATTTTCTTTTTTTAAAGATTATTTCTTTTAAAAATATATATGTTTTTATTGATTTTTAGAGAGAGTGGAAGGGAGAGAGATAGAAACATCGATGAGAAACATCATTGGTCGGCTGCCTCCTGCACACCCCTACTGGGGATAGAGCCTGCAACCGAGGCATGAGCCCTGATTGGGAGTCCAGCTGATGACCTCTTGGTTCCTGGGTCGGTGCTCAACCACTGAGCCACACTGGCCAGACGGTGATTGCTATTTTCAAGGCTGCTGTGGAGTTGGTGAGGAGAGAGTGAATGAGGCAAGTTAAAAAGGCACAAAGCTTGCTATTCTTGATGAAATTCAGCAGTTTTTCTTGAATAAATGCTCCCTATTGTTAAAGTCTTTGGTTTATTTCTAGGATTCTGAAAAGGTTTATTCTGATCAGTTGGCCAGTGTTCTTATTGCTTTTTATAGAGGAAATGATTTTTGGAAGTCCTTAGTCTGGCGTTTTCACTGGCATCACTTTGATTCAAAGAATTTAACCCATACCTGAATACCAGAAATTGCAAAAGATTTTCTTAGAACATGGGTTAATTTTTTCTTAAGTATCATTTCTTCCTTCCTCCTTCTACTCAGCCTCACTCCTTTCTAGTTGGGGTAGCCTATCTTACCAGCTTGTTTTACATTCTTTCAAACCTTATTTTGTTGATTTCATTTCTAATGTATGATGCATCTGTGTGTATGTACTTTATGGGGTTTTCCTAAACATTACAGTTTACAGTAAGTGTGTTTTGATGTGCAACTTGCCTTTTTTTCCCCTCTTAACTGCGTGTCTGGGAGATCTTTCAATGACACACAGAGATACACATTTAAGTGTGATGGTATTTCATGATATCGAAATACCATGGGTTCCCTAACTGTTCCATAATTGATGGTGTTTTAGTTTGTAATAGACAAGAGAGCTTGAAATAGTGCTAGAACAAATCTCTTTGTATATGCCTCTTTATGTATGAGTATTTATCTAGGATGGCTGTCCAGAAGTAGAATTGCATTATTGTAGAGTATGTGTATTTAAAATGTTAAGATTACTTTATAATTGTCTTCCCAAAAGCCTAAATGAGTTTACATTTCCAGCATGTATGTGAGAGTAACTGTTTTATCACACCGTCTCCAATACTAGACATGACCAATCATTTTTGACAATCTGGGCAAAAATATCTCACTTATTTTAAAATATATATATATATCTTTAAATTATATATTCTGGGACATCACTACTGCTACCCCAGTAAGTAATAATTTTTAATATTTTTTTACTCCTTTTTTTTAGGGAATGGCATTTACATTACGAGAACGACAAATGCTTGGTCTTCAAGGACTTCTACCTCCCAAAATAGAGACACAAGATATTCAAGCCTTACGATTCCATAGAAATGTGAAAAAATTAAATTGCCCTTTGGAAAAGTAAGAATTGCTTAGATGTTTAGTTTTTATTGATGTTATGACCAAAAAAATTGGGAGTATTGTGGTTATTATGGCATGAGAAACATACAATCTCATAATGAAGTTTGTGTTGTCGTCCATTCCTGTTATTTTTATAATGATAATGTATTTTTCATTGCAGTGAATGCTTCACTTGTTTTCCCTATTGTAAAATTTAGGGAGAAGGGGGTCCTAATATATGGTAGCAGGAGAAGATTTGATTTTGGGTGGTGGGCACACGGTGCAATATACAAATCTTGTAACATAGAAACCCACACCTGAAACCTATATGTTTATGTTAACCAATGTCACCCCAATAAATTTAATAAAAAATAAATAACCCCCAATGAAATATCCTTTTAAAAAAGTAGCAGAAATCAGTTTTTTATGCTCAAAATCACAGAGCATTTCAAGTTTGAATGGAATATTAGAAGCAAAGCGATCATCTAATTTTCATCCAGTCTGTTCAATAACTTTTATTGATCATCTACTTCGTGTGTGCCACTATACTGGCCACTGAGGATATAAAGTTGGTAATATTCAATCCAGGACACTTTAGGTAGTGAAAAAGAGGAGTAACTGAACCTGGCTGAGGCAAACGAAATGTATGTCCTCTACAATAATGCACAACCCTTCTTTCTAGGAGCTCATCAGTAGATAGTTGTGTTTATGTCTGAACCATGCCAGACGGGCAACATTTCTGCCTTTTATTTCATAAAGCTATTCAGTCATTATAGCCCAGTTATTTGTTTTCTTCCCTGTGTTGAAAAGAAATCTCCTTCCCTTTAATATCTACCTATTGGTATTATTTCTGCACATGGTAACTATATAGAAAATATTACTCTTCTTTTTTTTTTCTTTGCCTTGTCTGCAAGGAACTCAAATTATAAGAGAAAGTTTATTTAGAAAGTCACAGAGGTTAAAAAAAAAAAAAGAAAGATGAGCCAGCTGGGCTACGTGGGCACAGAAAGGATTTACAGAAACAAAAAATGGGCCCTTGGAGCTTAGGAAAAGGAAAGGCAGAGAGAATATACCTGGGGGAAGAAGAGGAGAGGGGTGAGTGTGCTCCAAAGAGAGAGAGCTTACCCTGGGGAAAGAAGAGGGTGGGGAAAGGCATGGGCTTGCTCAAGAGAGAGAGAGAGAAAGAGCATGTTTATTTTTCTTATTTTTTTAAATATATTTTATTGATTTTTTTTACAGAGAGGAGGGGAGAGGGATAGAGAGTTAGAAACATTGATGAGAGAGAAACATCCCCACTGGGGATGTGTCCGCAACCAAGATACATGCCCTTGCCAGAATCGAACCTGGGACCCTTGAGTCCGCAGGTCGATGCTCTATCCACTGAGCCAAACCGGTTAGGGCAATTTTTCCTCTTCTAAATGGAATCTGTCCTCCCTATTTATTCACTGGAAATTAGCACATCAGTTATATTCTACATACTTTGCTAGTTCCTGGAATTGTGGAAGTTTATAAGGTGATAGTCCCTAACTCATTATCTCATATAGGCTGGAGGGGAGACAGAAAGTGGAGTGAGTTACAGAAGAGAAGTAGGTTGTTTTGGGACCTAAAAACAGGAAACCTAATGTGACTATATGTGTCATGGGGATTGGGAAGAGGCAGAAAAGGAACCGAGAGAGCCTTTCACCCTGAGCTGCTTTCGGAGAGCATGAGTATAGGACTGTGCATGAGTATAGGGTTTTCCAGGCAAAGGGTTCCCCGTAAGTAGCAACTCCAAGGTAAGAGTTGTGATGCATTGAGGAACTGAAGTAAATTCATTATGAAGATAAGGGTGAGAAGTAGTTAGAGGTCTTGATAACTATTTTAGGAGCTTAAGCCTATTTAATTTTTGTTGATTTTTACTCCTGGTGTTAAATAATGATAATTTAGGGATTTGCTTTCTGGGAGGGAATTGGCCCTCTATTTTAGATGGCTACATTTACCTTTCAGAGGACAAAACTTGGAATGTATTACTGGCTGATGTAGATATTATTTACTGTGCTTAATTTCAGATACATCTATATAATGGGAATACAAGAAAGAAATGAAAAGTTGTTTTATAGAATACTGCAAGATGATATCGAAAATCTGTTGCCAATTGTATATACACCAACAGTTGGTCTTGCCTGCTCCCAATATGGACACATCTTTAGAAGACCTAAGTAAGGCTTATTTTTAAAAATATATATTTGAAAATGATTATTATATAGGAGAAATATCACTTCGTGACACTTATTACATTTCTGTTTTATTTGTTGCAGTCTTATCTCAACCACATTTCTCACCTCACAAAAGCTTAATTTGGACAAAAAGGGATTAGTAAAAACCCAACACATTTGTTTCTTTCATTTTTGTAGAAATAGTATCATTCTTTCTTAACTTTCTTTAAATTATTATTGTTAGAGGAACTGTGCATTTTCGTACCAAAAGAAAAGGAACTCTTTTTTTTTCATGGTAGCAGATTCTCCAGAATTATCATTAATGTTTTTGACAGTCTGGCCAAATTAAAAAATTGATTCTCATTTTTTGGTCAGCATTCATTTTTGTCATTTGTTATTTTTATGGGTGTTTATAAAGTTTTAATTTCACATAGTTCCAGCACTTCCAGTTATTTTAAGTGGAAAAAGACTGGAATGGGTCTTGACTCGGGTCTTTGAATAAGTGACCTTATCCCTCTGAATCTGTTTTCTCATCATAAAATAGTGATACCAGTACCTACCAGAGAGCTGCTGAGAAGGTCAGATGAGGAAACTGGTGTGACTGCCAGTTGTTTGTAAACTTCTAAGCATTATATAAATGCTATTTTTACTTAATTTGAGTTTTCTTATCTTGTTCTTCTACCTATTATTTTCCTCAATCCTTGTATGTTTCCCATGTCTTACTTGCATATTGACACAAATGTAGAAATTCAAACAAAATGTGATAGCATTTGTCTTCAATCTCCCCTCATCTAGTCTAGTGGCTTTCAGCATTAATGTGCATGACACACCTGTGGGACTCACTTGAAATGTTGATCCCTGCCAACTCTTCTCCTTTTAATTCCCAAGAGTCTGAAGACAAAGAGAAAGGTCTGGAAGTGTGAATTTAGTGAGCGTCATGGGTGGTGGTGGTCAGGTATCACTGGAAGACTCTTTGAGAACACTGTTCTGTGTGCTGCCATCAGTTAGTGGGTCTGAAACATTTCTGTGATATTACCTAGCTTTTCAGCTCTTTTATAGTTTCTTTTTCATGTAGAACAGTGGTTCTCAATCCAGATTAAAGAACAAAGGGAAACATAAAAAATACTGATTCTTGGGCTCCCCTTGTGGAGATCCTGATTCATTTAGTCTAGAGTTGGACCCAAGTGTTGGTGTTTCATAAAAGCTCCTGGTGTGATTCTAATGTGCACCAGAGATGAGAGCTGATGTGAAACATAAGGAGCGTAGCTTCTGGATGAGGGCAGATACTGTGTCATTTATGTGGTGTACTGCTGCGGTGGTTTTTTGTTTGCTTTTTACATAAAGGATGGTCAGTAAATCTGATCTAAACTCCAAGCCAGTTAAATCAGAATTCATGGGGGCATTTTTAAAAAGCTCATCAAATGATTCTATTATGCAGTTATGGTTGAGAAACGCTTGAACTAAACTGATTTGAGCTAGGATAGTAAAGCCAAAGTTAAGATACCAATGAGAAAGTTAGTTATAAGAATCAGTTTAAGGCAGTGGTTCTCAACCTGTGGGTCGAGACCTCTTTGGCGGTCGAACGACCCTTTCACAGGGGTCGCCTAAGACCATCCTGCATATCAGATATTTACATTACGATTCATAACAGTAGCAACATTACAGTTATGAAGTAGCAACAAAAATAATTTTATGGTTGGGTCACAACATGAGGAACTGTATTTAAAGGGTCAGCAGGTTGAGAACCACTGGTTTAAGGGCACTTGATACCTGTTGGACCTCATCTCTGCCTGCCCAATTTTCTAGAACCTGTGTTTTGGTTTTGGTTTCCTTCCTTCCCTTCCCCTCCCCTCCTCATCGCCCCTTCCCTCCCCTCTTCCTTTTTTGAAGTCTGGATTCATTATCTCAGTTGGCTAGCAGTATACTGTGTGTTTAAAATAATTTCACTTTTTTCCTAATGCCTCAAGGTAATGTCTTTTATATGAAACTACTATACTTTTCTTCTCTTCCTTCCTGTTCTTCACATTTCAGTTTTTTCAATTCAGTGAGTTTTAGCAGTAGTATATTATGCTCTTCTGAATTGGTAGTTTATTTTGTTTATTTTTTTTAATATATTTTATTGATTGTTTACAGAGAGAAAGGGAGAGAGATAGAGAGTCAGAAACATCGATGAGAGAGAAACATCGATCAGCCGCCTCCTGCACATCTCCCACTGGGGATGTGCCCGCAACCCCAGGTACATGCCCTTGACCGGAATCGAACCTGGGACCCCTCAGTCCGCAGGCCGACGCTCTATCCACTGAGCCAAACTGGTTTTGGCAAGGTGGTTTATTTTTAAATTGCTTTTTGCTGGAGGTATATTGGGTTTATTTGAAAATGATATGTGGATGCATTTCTTCTTGTGTAAAATGATCACATCATTTAATAATAATCTTTGTGGCAACTACTATGTGAGCAATGTAATTACAGTTTGAAGATGTAGTTGAAAATAAAGCAGTGTGATTTAGCTAATTCTGCTTGGAAATTATACTGTGTCTTGATGTTTTATTAAAATACCTAAATATTCCAGTTATGAACAAAGACTTAGAAAAAAACAAAAAACTGTTGTGAAATGCAAAGGTGTTTTTGTTCTGTTGCAGGGGATTATTTATTTCAATCTCAGACAGAGGTCATGTTAGATCAATTGTGGATAACTGGCCAGAAAATCATGTTAAGGTACTAATAGCACAACCTTCCTTTTCACAATGTTATTTCTTTCCTTGTAACTTACCTCTAAATTTCCAAGAACAGTTTTTCATTGCTGCTCTGATTTATTTTGCACTCATATACATGCAGATATAGTGCTCTGAGGAGATCATGATAGTAATAGCTACAAAATGGGTAACTGGTATAAACTCAGACTTTGGGAAAGAAATTGGAGCTGGTATACAAGGTGAGCTTGCTCACTGTCGATGCCACTGATCTCCTGCCTTCTCTTTATTTCTTTTCTATTTCAATTAGTATTAATGTTTCCTATTTTATTTAATATTAACCAAGTAATAATACCATATTATTAAAATAACATAAAACTTTTATTTGATGAGTAGTGGAGAGGATTCATTATGCCTTTTTTCTTCTAAATCTAAGGTAGATTTAGATCCTTAAGCAAATATAAAACTCTTGAAGTTTCAAATTTAGCAAATGTATTGGTCAATCTGGCTGCCTTTCATAAAATAATAAAATCTAATGACTTAGTCAGCGGTTCTCAACCTGTGGGTCGAAACCCCTTTGGCGGTCAAAGGACCCTTTCACAGGGGTCACCTAAGACCATCCTGCATATCAGATATTTACATTACAATTCATAATAGTAGCAACATTACAGTTATGAAGTAACAACAAAAATAATTTTATGGTTGGGTCACAACATGAGGAACTGTATATAAAGGGCCAGAAGGTTGAGAACCACTGACTTAGATCTTTTGTTAGGTTTTAGTATTTACTACATGCAGCAATCTTACTTGCCTTTATTACCTTTTCTTCACCAAAATAATCTTTGATGAATAATCATTAGTTCTAACGATCTAAAGAAAATTTGGTCAGATCATTAAATTCACTATATTATCTTAAAATCTTGTAGGTTGGTATATTTTTTATTCTAGATCTTTTTCTCTTTCATCATTGCTAAGGTTTTTCTTGTTTGGCCTAGATTATTTTGTTGGAGTAACATGTTTATTTCTAAACTCTAATTTTTCTATTATGGTTAATCTCTTTATCAGAAGTTTGTTCTCTTTCCCTGTTTAGTCTTTGTGAGGCATTTGGTTGATCCTCTAGTCAGAAGCATTATGTTTCTAAACCAAAGATAGGAAGTCAAATCTAGTTAGTGCTCTTTTTGACGTCTACATTCTAGAAATACTAGAATTTTAAATATGCTTGGTTGGTTTACTTTGCAAGATAGTCAAGAAGCAATTTTATTTTTTAAAGTGAGTGTAAAAATATCAAGAAATCTTTTTAAAATGCTTTTCTTTAATGTCCCTTTCTTTTTTTTACCACTTTTAATTAATTATTATTATTCTTTTTTGTAATTAAGGCTGTTGTGGTGACTGATGGCGAGAGAATTCTGGGTCTTGGCGATCTGGGCGTCTATGGAATGGGAATTCCAGTAGGAAAACTTTGCTTGTATACAGCTTGTGCAGGGATACGGCCTGACAAGTGCCTACCTGTGTGCATTGATGTAGGAACTGATAACCCAGTGAGTAAAACCATTTCCCCCCTCTGACCCTCCTTCCATATTAAAAAATACTTTTATTACATTCCTCTTTTGAAGATAATATAAGAAGGGAAATTTTGTGATTAGATGTTAGTCTTTGTCTCAAACTCCGCTTTTAATATCTATGCAAATCATAGTAAATTAGCCTATTAAAAGTGTCTTGAAGTAGGGCAGGTCAGTAAGGTTTAAAAAACTATATTAATAATTTATTTTGCAATTAATGTTTTAAAAAATACGTTTAAACTGGTTATGTAACAAAATAATTTTATTTTTACATTTGGTTTATTTTATAGGCACTGTTAAAAGATCCATTTTACATGGGCTTATATCAGAAACGAGATCGATCACAACGTTATGATGACCTAATTGATGAGTTTATGAAGGCCATTACTGACAGGTATTTTTTAAGTTTGAGTATATAAAAGCATCTTTAATTAAAGAAAAAAATCACAGTTTTGTTTTGTTTTGTTCACCTCTTATAAAGGTAAGTAGGAGATTAAATTTTGAGAACTTTGGTTCTTTCCTGCTGATCAGATGTGCTGATACATGGTGATAACCTACCCACTCTGCCTTGCTTTCCCTGAGTTGTCCAATATATTTTGTTGTTGTTGTTAATCCTCACTTGAGAATATTTTTTCATTAATTTTTAGAGAGTGAAAGAGAGGGGAAAAGAGATGGAAGAGAGAGAAACATCGGTGTGAGAGAGACTCACACACGGCCCAACTGGGGCATGGGATTGAACCTACAATCCAAGTATGACCCCTTGACTGGGAATCGAACCCGTGACCCTTTGTTGTGCAGGCCGGTACTCTAACCACAGAGCAATATTGGCCAGGGCAAGTTGTCTGACATCTTGAGGGAAGTCTGCACTCACTGCTCCTTTCAGAACCTCACTGTCCAGTTCTTTCAGTCCTTGGCATCACGCTTATTTCCCCATTCTGGTGAAACTCTTGTGCCGCTTTCATGTTTTAAATTCCCGACCATTTGGTCCTCTTCTCTCTCCATCTGTCTACAGCATCTCACCAGGGTTTGCAACCCTCGAAATTCCCTCTTCTCTTGACTACCAAGATTTTCCTAACTTGGTCTTTCACCCACCTTTTTCTTTCTTTAGTTATCTTCATTGGTTCTTGCTCATTTTTATTACATGTGAATGAGTACATGGTAAGCTATAACCTTTATGCATGTGACTCCTCCCCCGATGAAAACCCATCTATGCTGTCCCACCTCCCTCTGAGGCCTGTATTTCTAACACCTGGAATTCTCCACCAGCCATTCTGTTGCTCTTTCATATTCATGTGCAAATCAACTCCTTCCCATTCCAAACTGCTTATTATCTTCTGTGTATTCAGCCTCTATTAATGGCAGTAACCTTCACTCTATTGCCAAACCTTTAAACTTGGTGTTATCCTTGACTCTTCTCCTTCTCCAGTCCTCAGATCCAGTTGGTGGTACCACTCAAATGCCTCAGAAATAGATCTCCTCTCTCCCATTGCTACAGTCTTTCTGCAGATTCTCATCTCTCTTCTGGATTTTTCTAAACCATTTTCCAATTTCTCTCCTTTCCAGCTCTTCTCCACGTTACCACCAGATTAAATTTTTTTAAAGCTTGTACATCATTATGTCATTCTTTTGCTTGAAATCTCTAATTGGTTTTCTATTGACATAGGGTAAAGTTTAAACTCTTTACTTTTATGACAAAGTCCAAATTCTTTACATTTATGACCTAGCCCTGCCCTTGCCCTGCCTTTTAAATTACTGGTACATAGAAGATATTTAAAAATTAAAAATTTTTCAGTCAAAGTTGACACATCTAAAAAAAACTAAACTTTTCATTATCCTAGAAATTGCCATCTTCCCTACTTTTCTATCTTAGAGAGTCAAATGGTAGCTTCTTAGTGATCCAGGTTGCCTTGGTATTTTAACAGACTTCCTCCTTACTTCCCAATTGGCCTCCTCATCAAGTTCTGTTTGTTTATTCTAATGTCTCATAATCGTCCTTTTTACTTCCTATGGCTTCTGCTTCCGATCTTTTGGTCCTCGTGCTAGAGCAGCCTCCTAGCTGCGTCTCCTGGCTTTCTCCTTTCTCCCCACACCAATCTGTGTGGCATATTAATGGCAGGTGCATCATTCCTAAAGGGAGTTGTACATGAATTCTTTCCTTCCCTGAAGCCTTCACTGATTCTGCACCAGATACAGAATGAAGTCCCCATTCCCTAATTGCCATGCAAGATCCTCCTTTATCTGGCCCAACTCACCTTAACCAATTTCTCCCTTATCTTTTCATATAAAGCCAGACTGTTGAAAATTTAGAGTCACCAAAATATATCTTGCTTTTCTTCCTACCTTTTGACTTTCTGTTCTTCTTTCAGGGCCCAAATAAAGTCCCACCTCCTTTGTAAACCTTCCCTTATTACCCCATCTCACCAAGATGATTGACGTTTTTTTCTGAATGCTCATGAACTCATGCTAAAGTAGCCTCCGAATCTTGAGTGCCTCCATTATACATAATTTAAAATAATAGTTGTTTAAAATATAGCAGACATTTTGCTAAAACTTTACATTTGTTATTTCATTTAATCTTCTCGATTATTTTTTAACCTTTTATGTATGTACTTCCTGTGTTACTGTTTAACTGTTAATGTAATGAGTATACATAGCTAATATTATACATTTGAGATTCAGAAACAAAATCTCTCTCTTTTTTTAAGAAGTTATTTGGTGCATTTATGTGCTGGGCACCCTTATAGGCACTTGGAAATAGTTTATGCAGATTGATATTCCATAGGCTCACCCTGGTACTACATTCATTTGAAGCACCCTGTAAATTTTCTGAATGAGAGTTAAATTTCTACATTTTGAGTCTAGTCTTTCACAGACTCTGAAAATTGCAACATGGCATTAAATGAATTAACAACATATTTTGTAATGCTATCGTAAGGAATATTGGACAGGAAAGCTGTTTAGTAGTGGCTTTTCAACACAACCATTATGGGTTTTGCTCTTTTTTAGGTATGGACGGAACACACTTATTCAGTTTGAAGACTTTGGAAATCATAATGCATTCAGGTTCTTGAGAAAATATCGAGAAAAATACTGTACCTTCAATGATGATATTCAAGGTAAAGCAAAAAGAGAACTTCAGGATTTTAATTTCTATTTCTTAAACCCTTTTTATGTGACCACTTTTTTATTTTTAAAAATCTTTATTTTTCTTGTAGGGACAGCTTCAGTAGCTCTCGCAGGTCTTCTTGCAGCACAAAAAGTTGTTGGTAAATCACTCTCAGAACACAAAATCTTATTTCTTGGAGCAGGAGAGGTAAGTTTCTGTAAGCTGTTTTGAATTTAAAACCAACACTCATCTTTAGAATTGGAAAATGGGGCATAATGAGCTTATAATTTTGAGATAGATAAGGAGATCTTTGTAATATAAAATATCTGTTGTAAAGTAGATAATTTAAAATATGCTTAGAGAATATTACAAAGAATCAGCTTGTGTGTGATTTGTAAGGGAAGAATAAACCAAATATTCCTCATAACAAAACATTATAATTCAAGCATTGCATCATATTCTTGTGTTTACTTTTTAAATTTTTGTTCTGTTTGACAGGCTGCTCTTGGAATTGCAAATCTTATAGTTATGGCTATGGTAGAAAGTGGCCTCCCAGAAGAAGAGGCACAAAAGAAAATTTGGATGGTTGACAAGTTTGGTTTATTATATAAGGTAAGGTATTTAAAACTTGGAGAAGCAAAACGATGTTGTTATAATGATATTTTTAGTTTGATTTTTAAAACATCAATTTTTTAAAATTTATATCTCACTCAACTATCCAAATTGTACTAGTTGGGGAATCTTACAGTTTGTTCTCAACAGAAACCCTCCAGTCTAAAACTTTCTCTTTTATAAAGACTCTTGCTTTGTATTCAGATCATAGTGTCTGTGTTGGCATCAGACTTACTCCTTCCTCGATTTCCAGACTCTTAAGAGATCAGATAATCATGCAAATAATATTGTACTTGACCCCTCTAAGACTAGGTTTTTAATTGGAACTCAGACTATTCTAATTAAATTGTTAGCAGAACATCTGATATTTGAACAAAATTCGTTAACCCTTTGGTGGTCATAATCCCCTTAGCAATCTAATAGAAATCTATGGATCCTCTCCCCAGAAAAAGGCACATTTTTTTTTTTACTATTTAAAAAAAAAGTAATTTTTAATTGTTTTTTTTTGGGGGGGGGCATCAATTTGTTGTTCCACTTATTAATGCATTCATTGGTTGTTTCTTATATGTGCCCTGACTGGGTATCCAACCCGAACATAATCTTGGCATGTCAGGATGACGCTCTAACCAACTGGCTATTCAGCCAGGGCAAGGCATATATATTCTTAAGGCCAATTCATGGATAATAAAGAGCTTCTATCTGAGATTGACTTAGTGTCCTTTGACATGCCTGCCTTCCTGCGTTGATTGTCATTTTATTAGTTTAAGAAATGCCTTGTAGCTTAGATCTGTAACACATTGAAATGTAGGTAAACTATATCATAATTGAACCTATCCCTACACAGTGTTGTACTTTTGCCTTGTATAATGATATAGCAGTTACTTGTCATTTACATCTTTGGAGCAAGCTTATCTCAATGTACTTTGCTCCAATTCTGTAATCTTTTCTTCTTAACTAGTACCAATATTCTATTAGTACATTTTATCAAAAGATAAAATGAAAAAGTTTATGCATAAAAAGTCTTGAGTGGTTTAATTATACATAATAAAATAATAGTTGTTTAAAAATATACCAGACATTATGCTAAAACTTTACATTTATTATTTTATTTAATCTCAAAAACTGTATGGAGCCCAGCCTATGTGGCTCAGTGGTTGAGCATCGACCTATGAACCAGGAGGTCACGGTTAGGTTCCCGGTCAGGGCACATGCCCGGTTGCGGTTCAATCCCCAGTGGGGGCTGTGAGTGAGGCAGCCGATTGATGATTCTCTCTCATCATTGATGTTTCTATCTCTCCCATTCTCTTCCTCTCTGAAATGAATAAAACTATATATTTAAAAACAAACAAACAAAAAAACAACAACAACACTGCCCTAGCCAGTTTGGTTCAGTGGATAGAGCGTTGGCCCACAGACTGAAGGATCCCTGGGTTTTTTTCCAGTCAAGGCCATGTACTTCGGTTGCAAGCTTGATCCCTGGCCTTCTTCAGGGTGTGTGTGGGTGGCAACCAATCGATGTGTCTCTCACACCGATGTTTATCTCTGTCTCTCCCCCTCCCTGTCTCTCTAGAAATCAATGGAAAAATATCCTCCAGTGAGAATTAACCAAAAAAAACCCACAAACCTATGGAATTTTACAAATGAGGAAACTGAGGGTTAGAAAGGTCAGGTGACTTTTTCAAGGACATCAGCTTATAAGTGATGGAGTTAGGATTCATACCCAAGTAGCCTATGAAGCCTGTGCCCATAACCATTCAACTAAGTTCCCTCTCAAGTAAACTATAACTGCTATGTTAACTTGTATATTAGATGCAAGGATTATAGGACATACTTTTAGAAAGCTATTGGGAGGATATGTAGTTTTACTGGTACACAGTAGATGGGGGTTTCTTTTTGTGATATTGGTTTTCACAAATGTGATTATCATATTTGTAACTAGTGGCCCTTGTTGAAAGGAAATTAATTAGAAGAAATATTTTAGTATTGCTGTTTGTCCTTTCTCTATAATAGAAGTGTCAATCAAATTCACGATTGACAATGACAGATCAAAACCGAGGAGTGCGATTGGCACCAGCGGGAACTTTATGTGTACTGCGCATGCGCGAGTCAACTTTTAGCCTTTTATAGATATAGAATAAACTTGCTTAATTAGACCTGCTTTCTGATGTAGCTAAACTTTTTCCAGCCCAGTGAAGCACCCCAACTTCTCTTTCAGGGAATTGTCAACAACACAGCAGTAAATATCAACACAAAGCAGATTGTTATTGTAGATCATGCAGGGAGAACAAAGGGTAAAATATTTAACTGCAGCAGTGTTTGACTATATTCTGTGCAGTGAGAAAACCTGAAGTCATTTTCAAGGTCCACCATTTCTTCTTTTCAGTCAGGTCAGGTTTGTAAACTTTCTAAATCTCCATTTTCTGGCTAATGAAAAGAAAATAGGATTCCACTGAGTCTCCTATCTATCTACTCCAGGACTTCTGTGAGGATCAAATGAGATGAGGCATGGGAAAACTCCTCACAGGCATTTGGTTAAAGTGTGAAATGTTTGCATCTGGCTATAAAGCAAGTCATGTTCCTGGGCTAAAGAAACTACAAAGAGGCTAATCGCTAGGGAGAGGAAGCTGAGTGTTGCTCCATGACATCATTACCCGGACAGACACTTGGCATGTTAGCCTTTATATATAGACTAGAGGCCCAGTGCACGAATTTGTGCACCAGTGGGGTCCCTCAGCCTGGCCTGCAGGATCGGGCTGAAACCAGCTCTCTGACATCACTTGAGGGGTCCCGGATTGTGAGAGGGCGCAGTTCAGGCTGAGGGACCCCACTGGTGCATGATTGGGGCAGGGGAGGGACACAGGAGGTTGACCAGCCGAGGAGGGACCCCAGGAGGGCTCCAGGGCATGTCTGGCCCATCTCGCTCAGTCCCAATTGGCTGGATCCCAGCAGCAAGCTAACCTACCGGTTGGAGCATCTGCCCCCTGGTGATCAGTGCACATCATACTGTGGTTGAGTGGCCTTAGCATATTATTAGCATATTACGTTTTGATTGGTTGAATGGCCAAGTGGTCAACTAGATACTTAGCATATTAGGCTTTTATTATATAGGATAAGTCAGCTCTAGAATGCATATAGTATTGGTTAGCACAGTGAGAAGCCTCTCCCTGTTCATCTGCAGCTTCTGAGTGTATTTTCCTTTTAGTCTAAGTAGCTTGACCTAATGATTTTAGGCTTCCTGTCTCTCCTGGTGTCCCTAACACTGCCCTCCTTTTTGAGACTGCCCTGTTGAACCATCGTAGTGGAGAGCTGTGTTTCTCTTGGAGACAAACATAGCATACGAAGCCATTATTCTGAGAGCCTCCACCTGGTGAGGCTGTATCTCAGTCCTTTAGTTCACTTCCCAGCCAGCCAGTGGTGCTGTGCCGATTTTCCCAGCCCTGCTGGTTTTTATCTGGGTTATTCTGAAGCTCTGATGGAAACATTTGCAGGGGATGTCTTCTCTTTTGCCAAAGTCAAGGTATGGATTTCTCAGCCTGGTTAAATTTTCATCCATGTTTTGCCTGCTTTAAATCATTGAGAAATGTTTCATTTGTCACTGGTACCTCTCCTGGCTTTGTGACACTAAGAATTTGACACTACTAAGCTACTAAGCGTTTTGACTGGGGACTTGGGGAGGAAAGCACGTTTCTTCAGTCAGCCAACTTGAGCCAGAAGTCTCTGTTCCTCTTGTTTCTGAAGTCTTGGGAGTCCAGGTACAATTGTGTAATTCTAAAAGTTCTGCATCCAGTTAGTAACGCATCTGACTGACCTGAACTTCTCTGGTAACAAAACCAGAGAGGTCATTTGTAGTCTTCACCTTTTGTGCTTGGTGTGACTTTTCTTTTTTAATCCTCACCCAAGGAGTGAGGGTATTTTTTCCATTGACTTTTAGAGGGAGTAGAAGGAAGGGAGCCGGGGAAGGAGAGACAGAGAGCGAAACATCGATGTGAGAGAGACACATGGATTGGTTGTCTCCCACACTGCCCCAACCAGGGGTGGGAATCGAACCTGCAGCCCATGTATGTGCCTTTGACTGGGAATCGAACCTGCAAAACCACACTCGTCATAAATTTTGTTCAGTTGTGCAGTACCCATTGGGAGGCATTTGTAATATTTTATATGTTGCCATAAAACATTTCTAAAATATGAAAAATTCTGATTTCCAAACTGCATCTAGCCCAGAAAAGGGATTGTAGGACTTGTACCATATTGAATTTAGGAGGACTTCACAGAGTAAATGAGTTTTTGAGAGGGATTACAGTTTCTGGTTATAAGGAGATTTGATTTATGTTTTATATTGGGGTTTATAGACACTATGAAGATAGAATTAGAAGATATGGATTGAAGAGAAAAGTAAATGAAAATACATTCCTATTGTAGAAACAATATGTGACTCAATGATGTCTTTTCACTTAATCCTCAATAAGCATTTACCAAAATACTGTATTTTTATGTAATAATTCAGGGGCGGGAAGCTAAAATAGACAGTCATCAGGAATCATTTGCTCACTCAGCCCCAGAGAGCATACCTGGTACTTTTGAAGATGCAGTAAAGATACTTAAACCTTCAGCTATAATTGGTAAGTAAAGTTGTTGCAGATTATTCTCTTACTTAACTGTATCTTGCCAATCATAACTTACATCAGGATTACTAAAAAAGAAATGGTAGATTTTATCTAGCTTTCAGCATATATGATATTTTTCATAATAGCTTTTTTATTACAGTGTGCAATGAAAGTTCAGTTAATGTATATTGCTTGTATTTTTAAGTGTAGAAGCTGTGGGATTTATCACACTTTATTTTTAGAGTTGGTATGACTGTTGGGCTCAAAACCTAAAAAGACCAAGGTCATTTGACACACTGTACCAGGAAAATCCTATGCAGAGTCCAAGATTTTCATTGGCAACAAAGCTGAAAGTGTTTGGTACCTTTTGAGTCAGGTATTGCATAGCTGACATGAGACTAGGACAACATGGCATTAAGTTCACAGCAGAAAATGTAACAGTCTTTAAAAGGGGAGCTATTTTCTTTCCAACGTAGTTATAAGATTTTTAATCTATCATTTTCTTTTAATTGTATCTGTTTCATGTACAAGCCCTATTGAATGCTAAATAGCAAAATAGTCACAAACAGTAAGTGTCTATGATCAGGAAAAGTACATCTTTTTAGCTTCTTCATTGCTTAGAACTCATATAAGTGAAATCATACAGTATGTCTTTTTGTGACTGGTTTATTTCACTTAGCATAATATCCTCAAGGTTCATCCATGTTGTAGCAATTTTAATTAGACATAGTGATGTAGATAATCTTACACTCTTCTCCTCCTTACCCCCCACAATTTACTGTGTCTGGGGTGGACAATAAATATTTTAAGTGAAAACTTAGCATTTTATTGTTTTTCTTTTCACATTTGAAATTGTGTTCATATAACATTATTTCAGCAATGCAAAATCCATCTTTGTAATAGAGTTCACCTACGCTTTTGTTATGTTAAACCTGTTGTAGAAATGCTGTTTATAAGAATTGCTTTTAGCCCAGCCAGTGTGGCTTAGCAGTTGAGCATCGACCCATGAACCGGGAGGTCACTGTTCGATTCCCGGTTAGGCCATGTGCCCGGGTTGTGGGCTCATCCCCAGTGTGGGGCATGCAGGAGGCAGCCAATCAGTGATTCTCTCTCATCACTCATGTTTCTATCTCTCCCTCTCCCTTTCTCTCTCTCAAATCAATGAAAATATTTTTTTAAAAAAAAGAATTGCTTTATTTTACCTGTAATGAAGTTGGCTGTTTTTCCCCTTATTTATTTCAGGAGTTGCAGGAGCTGGCCGACTTTTCACTCCTGGTGTAATCAAAACCATGGCTGATATCAACGAAAGGCCTATAATCTTTGCATTAAGTAATCCTACAGCAATGGCTGAGTGTACAGCTGAAGAAGCATATACACTTACAGAGGTATTAATCAATAATAATTTAATGAATTAGTTATGTCTTATTTTCCCTCTATTAGCCTGTTGGTTATACATTCTTGCATAATTTTCATGGTTACTCTGGAGATTACAACATTCGTCCATGGATCATCAAATTCTGGTATTAATTATTGCTTGTAACAATTCTGGAAAGTAATTACCTCATAATTCTATTTTTTAATACCTTTATGCCATTTGTGCTGTTTTACATTTTTTTTAATATATTTTTATTGATTTCAGAGAGGAAGGGAGAGGGAGAGAGAGATAAAAACATCATTGATGAGAGAGAATCATTGATCAGCTGCCTTCTGCACGTACCCATGAGCCTGCAACCCGGCCATGTTGCCCTGACCGGGAATTGAACTATAACCTCCTGGTTCATAGATCGATGCTCACCCACCAGCCAGATAAGATAGAACATTTTTCACAATTTTTATAACTTTGAAACTGCTATCTCTTTTTTTAAAATGATTTTTTAAAAAGCATTTCATTATAGTTTAATTTTATATAATTTCTTAGTGTTACATAAAATAATGACATATTTATGTATTTGCAGTCACCTTAAATTTTTAGTTCCTTTGTTTTCAGTGGAGAGATGTCTTAGTGTTACTCTAACACCCTCGATGCTTAGTGAGAAAGCAGCAGTTTCTTGTAGAACAGAGAATAGGCCAGCTTGGGCCTCACAATGTGACAGTACTGTTACCATTAAGATCTGGCCACACTTAAGCAATAGGTGGAATATGACAGGGGAAGAACAGATGGTTTCGAGAAGATGAACTGCTGTAGAATCTCACCATTCAAGAGAACATTCCCAAGATTTCGAAATCTCCAAATTTACTGGTATCATGTGAATATAACACATTCCCCATAAAGAACTATATTGTATAATCCACTTTATGGAGCTATTGAAATTAATGGTGCCCCCATAATATTTATTATTATACACACTAGAGGCCCAGCGCGCGAAATCGCGCAAGACCCAGACCCCCGTGCCACTGGACCCAGACCTCCCCGCACCGTGGGACCCAGACTCCCTCTTCCATGCCGCCGCAGGCGGGACCCCAGACTCCCTCCGCCGCACGTGCTGGCAGGACCCCAGACCTGCTGCACCAGTGGGACCCCAGACCCTGCCGCTGCCACCACCACGGGCCTCGCGAGCGCATTTGTGCCTTGCTAGTCCCCATTCCTCTCTCCCCAGTGTTGAGTGTCTGAGCCATTGGCTGCTCTGAACTGTTTGGCTCTTTCCCTTAGTAACAGCTTTTACCTTCTGCTTCAATTCCTCTCCCAGCTTGCGCCCTTCCTACCTCCACTGCCAGCCATGTACGCCCCCGCCCTGCCCCCCCACAGCAGGAGCACCTCCGCTCGCCACCTGGGGACCCATGCCGCACTCCCTGCCCCCACCTGCCCAGTGCCCATCACCCGCGCCCTCTTGGCCACGAGGCCCCGCCCGCCTGTGCCCGCCTTGCTGTGATCAGAGTCTGTGGGCCGGGGGAACAAGAGATGCTCCATGCACCTCCTGGTGACTGATCTTTGGGCATTACGGCCACAGGCTTTTTATATATATATATATATAGACTAGAGGCCCAGTGCACCAAATTAGTACACGAGAGGGGGGTCCCCTCAGCCCAGGCTGCACGCTCTCCAATCCGGGACCCCCTCGGGGGATGTCCGACTGCTGGTTTAGGCCCGATCCCTGGGACTGCTGGCTCCTAACTGCTCACCTACCTGCCTGCCTTATCGCCCCTAACTGCCCCCCCTGCCAGCCTGATCACCCCTAACCGCCTCTGCTTGCCAGCCTGATTGTCCCTAACTGCCCCCCTGCTGACCTGGTCGCCCCATGCAACCTGCTGTTCAGTCGTTTGATCATCCCTCATTAACCCCCCCTGCCAGCCTGGTCACCCCACGCAGCCTGCTGTTGGTCATTACTGTTACTGTGACAGTGTCCCAGACAATTTGCATATTCCTCTATTAGTATAGATTATTATTATAGTAACATGTATGGCATTAGCCAGGAACTAATGTTAATGTTCAGACAAACACAACTTTTGTTACACGTAGTTATGCCTAAAATAGGTTGAGAATGATAAGAGCTATCTGTAGAAAATGTTGTATGTAGTTGTAGGTCCAAGCTAGTCTCCCGAGCCTACCACTAAGCCTGTCGCTGACTTGCTTCAACACTTACCATAAACCTTGTATCATTTTTGAAATTGAAAGTATATCTTGTAAAAGTAGTAATTACTGTACTTCATGGACCTTCGGGTCAAATTCTTGAGTGTTTAAACCACTAATGCCAAGGATCTGCTATACTTCAAAGAATAACACTTGGATATTACACTCTTGTTACAATTGGGATTTTAGGTTATTAGACTAATTCTTTTGAATGTTCAAGTACTCGTGGCAGTTTGTCCATCCTACCATGTGGACATAGTTCAGTTTTCTGTAAATCACTTTTTAACTTAATCCAAGGAGCTGTTTAAAACAGGACATATATATGTTATGCCTTGATTATTGCAGGATAGGTTATCCTGCTAGAGAACCATTATTTTCTTCTTGCTCTTTGTCTTATTTTTTTTCCAGGGAAAGGTGGGGGTGGTGATATTTGTTGAGGGATTTTATATATAAAGGACTTCATTTTATAAATTATTGTTCAGATACTTTTCAATTTCACAGGCATTTACTTCTCTTAGAAATACAGAACGTACCAGTAACATTTGTTATGTGCTATTATAGAGCATAGTACTAGACTGGATGACTACGACAAATTTGGAGACTTTTTTTTAACAAGGCAACATGCCATTTTTTTCTGGGATTGATAGTGTGGTTGTATCGATGCCTCTTTTCTAAACTGCCTCACTAGGGGGCATTATGGCATAACAAAGAGACCGTGGGCTTCAGAGTTTTAAATATCTGGATTCCAGTTGACCTTTTACAGCAAGCTTGTCAAACTCAAAGGCTAACACGGGCCAAATAAACAAGGTTTAAGTTTATGTGGACCGCAAAAAAACAAAAGCTTCAATTTTCTTAGAAACGTCGGCTTATTTCTATAGAGACATGCTGAATACAAAGGGCTGAAATAAATGAGTAATCGTTAACATAAAATAATAGAACATTTTAATAAAATTTAATATTTTTTCTTGAACATTAACTTACCAGACACTGAATAATTACACAAATTAATAAGCGTAACTCAAATAAACCTATTTTTCTTGTTCTGAAAGTGATATATTTCCTGTTGCACACAGCAAACAAGTCAGTCCAAGACTAATGATGTGGTGATCAGCTGCTAAAATATTCGCTGCTAGTTTTAGTGGAGAGAATGGTGCGCCTGTGCATAAGGCACTTAAGGGAAATGAACGCAACATCATTATAGTCATCAGTCATTAGCGAACGTTGTAGTTCGTTATTAACCCTTTGCACTCCGCTGTCCCCTCTCAGAGGACATCGGAATTCTAGCATATCACTCGGATGTCCCCTCTCAGAGGACATTGCAGTTTATTAGTGATTACGGGGAATTGAGTTATTTCAACGCAACTTTTTGAGACATGCATGTTTCCCTGAAGTTTTATCTTGAAATGGCACAAGAAATTAAATCAAAATATCATAAAATTACTAAGATATATACAAGAAATGTCAGCGGGTTTTGTGTCGGATTAAACAATAAACTACATATTCCCGATGTGGGACAAAGAAAACGGGACTGCATTGTGTGTTCTAACAGGAAAACACCTGGTGGCAGGCGTCAAACCACTTATTACTGTCAAACATGCACTAATCAGCCTGCAATGCATATTGGGGAGTGTTACAAAACTTATCATACTGTACAAAATTATAAACAATAAAATATTGTTTTTTTTGCAAATATACATTCCTCGATGTCACCCAATTCATATAAGTCCAATATCATTATAATACGTTACTTGGTTCCAAAATTATACTAAATAATACGAGGGTCTGTAAATGCACGTTTCCGCCGCAAAGTAGCGTGGAGTAGCTGGTAGCCAATGTCCAGAATGGTTCGGAGTGCAAAGGGTTAATAATTATGTATAACAGGATATTGTAAAACTTCAGTTACAACATTTTTATCAAAATGTCTTACGTATCATTATATTGGCTGGGCCGCAAAAATATTCGTTGTGGGCCACATGCAGTCTACGGGCCGCAAGTTTGACAAGCTTGTTTTACAGAGTACTTGGGAATATCTCAGCCTTAGTTTTCTCGTTTTATTTTATCAGTGAAATCAAGATAGTGACAACCTCTAAGGTTTTCATGCAGGCTAAGTTCACTGAGTTAACACAGAGAGCCCCTGGTACTGAGACAGCAGATGTACGGTAAATGGTAGCAGTTTAATTTTTGATGTTTTCCCCTTCACAGATGTTTACATCAATCTTTAATATTTTAGGATGGTATTTATTGGCCATCTACATCTTTAAAATTTTTCAAAGGAAATGGAAGGTGTAAGGTTTTTGAAAAATGATTAATGGACATTTTTCAACTTTAGAATGTATGCATAAAACAAACTTTATTCCAATAAAAATTAAGTGACAGGATTATGTTATATAGTAAATTATTCCTGTTTGCAAATAATATGTCGGTCTGCTTTCCTATAGGATTTAATCTTGTTTGAGGTTACCTCGATTTTCTAAGCCACATCAAGTAACAGAATCAAGGCCATTTCATTTCTTCGCAGGGAAGGTGTTTGTTTGCCAGTGGCAGTCCATTCGAGCCGGTGAAACTAAGTGACGGGCGAGTGTTCACGCCAGGCCAAGGCAACAATGCATATATTTTCCCAGGTAAATGTCACCATCATGTATGTTTCAGAGTAATCATTAATGAAATTCTTTAGAGTTTAAGATTAAAATGAACGATGGAATTTACAGGATTTTGGTATGAATGCACAGGGAAACTCAAGAAATTCAGCAGATCCAACTTGCTCTATTTCCTCTGAAATTGTATTTATTCATACAGGGGTGGGCAAAAGTAGGTTTACAGTTGTAATTCAACAGATAAATAATTCAACAATTACAGATGTGAGTATGCGAAACATAGTTTATTCTTGTATTATTATTTTATTATTTTCCATATAAGCAACTGTAAACCTACTTTTGTCCCACCCGTGTAAGAAGACAGTCATTTTTGCCCCAGACATTTAAATAACTGCATTAAATGTAGATGGACCAGTTACTCTTCTCTAAAATTTTCCATATTTTCCAGAGGCTGGATTAAAATAAGGAAGCTATTAACCATCTGATCTTCCCGTCCTCCCCACTCTATTGGGATAGTCTTTGAATAGTTTAAAACAAAATTTCTAGACTTTGAGACAACAGACATAGTTGAGGACAGAGGTGCCAGAAAGTGGGAGATTAAAAGCCAGATCACTCAATAGTGACAGAGTAGGCAAGCCCCATCCTTGTGTTCATAGCTACCAATCATTTTTTAGTTCCGAACCCTTGCATATGAGAAACGGTCAAAGATTACTGCCCAGCTAGCGTGGCTCAGTGATTGAGCATCAACCTATGAACCCGGAGGTCATGGTTCAATTCCCGGTCAGGGCACATGCCCAGGTTGTGGGCTCCATCCCCAGTCAGGGCATGCAGGAGGCAACCAGTCAGTGATTCTCATCAGTGATGTTTCTATCTCTCTCTCCCTCTCCCTTCCTCTCTCTATGAAATCAATAAAAAATATATATATTTTAAAAGATTACTAGTCCTTGTGGGAAGAAGGAAAATTAAAAACTATCAATATCATCATGGAGACAAATGATTGCATCTCTGAAACAAAACTTATTTTTTTAAATTATAAAACAAAAATAAAGTTTTGAAAATGAAAATTTTAGTAGCAGAAGGATTAGATGAAAAAGTTGAGGAAGTCACCTAGAAATAGAGCAAAGAACAGAGATAGAAATAGAGGAGAGGGTTAGAGGAATAGTCCACAAGGTACAATAGCAGGAAATAGAAATTTCAGGAAGAGAGCACAGGAACACGGGCGGAAGGGCATTATCAAAAGCTTTATGAACATTTCCCCAAACAGAAAGACTCAAGTTTCCAGATAGGAAAGGCCTGCCCACTGTGTGCCAAACACCTCAGTGAAAATGATGCACCTCAGGGCAGATCTTGAAATTACAGAACATTAGCCACACACACAAACATAGCCTACATACCTCTAGAGAGGAAGTTAAAAGATAATCACTGAAAAAGTTCCTGGGATCACATTGGCACTGGATCATCACCAATAATGCTGGAAGCTTATTTCTAAACTAGAATTCTAAACTCAAACTATCAAAATGGAAAGTAGGAAAAGAAAAAGAAAAAGATGGTTGAGGAATGTAAGAATTCAATGTAAGATTTCAAAAAAATATACCTCCCATGTACTGTTTTTCAGAAAACTACAGGAGAATATATGCTAACAGGAAGAGGTAGTAACAAAAAACTAGGAAGAATGGGATTTAGGAAATAAACTCAACTTAGAAGCAAAGGGAATCCCGATGATAGAGGGATTTCCCAGTATGACAACTCCATATCTGAAGTGGATTGCAGCCAGATCACATTTATTCTAGAGGATGAAATGAGAGACTACATGAGGTAGCTGAAATATTAGAAGAAAATTAGACAAGTGAATGAATGTTTTATCATGAAGTTATTTCAAATTCCAAAAAACCACTAAAGTCAAGAAAAAAATAGGATAGTAACTTTAGGGAAAACAAAGTTATACAGAAGAGGAAAAGTCATGATACAGTGTTAGTGGATAGCTCGGCTGTGAATAGCATTTATGAAGTCATAATAAACACTGAATGTTCATTCAATCAAAATGATGGGAAGAAGAAGAAAGGCTGGAAATGTGACAGAAAGCTAACTACTTATTTCCCACAGGAAGGAAGCAGTGATATTTAAAACTCAGAAGTCAGTCAGAACTCTAAGCAAGCTGTGTAAGAGTGAGAAATGAATATTGAAACAATCAGCTAAAAGAATTGCAAGTAGTTGTCTGTAGAGCAAGAAACGGAGGGTTGGAGGTGTGTGGGAATAGTGTTTTCTGTAAAAAGTGTCGATAAATTGTATGCATTTGTAATTTTGGTAAATGTAAAAACAATATTGGGGAAAGCTATTTGATATTTTCTAAAATATTTTTTCTAGTAAATAAGAATTATAGTGGTTAACAAAGATCATTGGATTTTTAACTCTCAGATTTTTGCGTTTATTTTCTTGGCTGCTTGGGTTTTTTTTGGAGAGGGTATTCGGAGTGGGGATGGCTTGCCATTTACTTGCTTTAAATCTGGGAATTTATTTGGCTCCTTTCACAATTTGAAAAGTGACCTTACTAAATAAACTGTTTAAACTGTATTCTAGGAGTGGCTTTAGCTGTTATTCTCTGTCACACCCGGCATATTAGTGACCATGTTTTCCTAGAAGCTGCAAAGGTAATTATTTTTAATATTGTATAGTTATTTTATAAAGGATGAATTATAAAGATTAAAAGCAGAAAGGAAAAGAGAAGGGGTTAAATCTGCCTTATGAATGTAAAGGAAGTTACTCACCCATTGCTCTTTTGATTTGCCCATCTACTTTTGCATAAAATTATTTTTTAGCATGATTTTTCAAATGTGGATGGTAAGCTATGAATCCTTTTGTATTTATAACACATCTATACCTGTATTATATGTATCTGAAAGTAACATATTGTGACAGCATAGATAAAATATAACTCCTTGTGAGTTTTTAATGAACAATTACAAATTTATTTGGAATAATTGCAACTCCAAACTTGGCAGTATGAGTTTTGAAGAACTCACATTAAGACAAATATTAATGTCTATTTTCATAGTAGCTGTTGTAATTATACCAAACTCTGTATGTTAAGTAGAATATATTAATAAGTCTTTAAATCTGGTTGTTTCTTTATTGTTTAGTAGTGAACAGTTTTAATTTCTGAAGTAGTTTAAGTGTATTCCTGCTAGAAATAGGAGAATTATATTATCTGTATTTCTGCTCTTCAACCCTTTCTATGTTTCAGTAGGTCTTTATTATTCTGTGTTATTTAAACAAACAAACATAAAGTTCTCTTTTTCTCTTTAGGCACTGACAAGTCAATTGACGGATAAAGAGCTAGCTCAAGGGAGACTTTATCCCCCTTTTTCCAATATTCAGGAAGTTTCCATTAACATTGCTATTAAAGTAAGTAATAGTTTATACCTCTTCACATAAATTTTAATAGAATTTTCTTATGTAAGTAACACAAGTTTATTAAAGAAAAGTTTGAAACATTTAGTGCAAAGAAGAAATTTTAGTTCGCCCATATTCTACCAGAATATAACCCACATTGTTATTTTGAGTTTGTTGCCTTCTCGTCTTTTTAAGCACACACATGCCCAGTCACCAGTACCTATTTTTATAATTGGGTTGTCACTGCATTTTTTCCCACTTAATGTATTATAAGTCTTTTCCCTTGTTAATCAATAATAACTCTCTTTTTGTTATTATGTCATAATTAGTTTAACCATTTCTCTTTAGACATTTAAGTGTTTTTCATTTTGTTAGAAATAATATTGTAGTGAACATCCTCAGATAAGTCTTTATGTGCATTTGTGATTGTTTTTCCTTAAGATAAATTTCTAATCATAAGGACGAACAGTGTTAACACACTAAGGCTACTGATTCATAATGCCAAATATTTCTTCAGAAAAAAGTACTGATTTACATAGTACCTATTAGATAAGAGTGTATTTGTTTTCCCACACCTTTGCCCATATTTAGAATTATTATTTTTAAATCTTATATATTTAATAGATGAAAATTATCTTATTTTTATTTAAAGCACTTATTTTATTATTAGATTGAAGAATATTTTGTGTTTATTGAGCAATCATACTTTTTTGTGAACTGCCTATTCATGGCCTGTGCTTGTTTGTATGTTATATGTCTTTCTACCTTTTTTTAAAATATATTTTTATTGATCTCAAGAGAGGAAGGAAGGAGGAGAGAGAGAGAGATAGAAATATCAATGATGAGAGAGAATCATGGATCGGCTGCCTCCTGCACGCCCCACACTGAGGATCAAGCCCAAAACCCGGGCACCTGCCCTGACCGGGAATCAAATCATGACCTCCTGCTTCTTAGGTCTACACTCACCACTGAGCCATGCCAGCCAGCTCTTTCCACTTTCTGATACTGACTTATGAGAGCTCTTTATTAAGGACTAGAGGTCGGATGCATGAAATTCAGGCAAGGGGCTCAGCCCTCACAGTCCCAGCTGCCCTGGCCGGCTCTCGCAGCCCTAGTTTCGTCCGGAAGGTCTACTGGATGGTCATTCTGCTGTTCGTTTAATTAGCATATTAGCTCTTGATTATATAGGATAGTGATCCTTCTGTTTGCTGTGGTGCAGGTGTTGTCCCATTGTCATTATTCTAAACTTAGAGTTGTTTTATGTACCATTTTTCAAAAGCTTTTTCATGAAATTATCTGTTAATTTATAGGTTGTTTCTCATCTTTTGTGAGTGTTAATGCCTTCTCCCACTCCAAAATTATATAAATATCTACCTGTGTTTTCTAATAACATAAAACTTTTTAATCACACAGGTTTATTTTAGTGTATGTTGTGAGACAGAAACTTTTTCTTTGAGTAGGTAACCAGTTGTTTCACCACCAGTTGATCGAGACTACTGCTTTTATTAGTATAAAATAGTTTAATCTGTTACTAGGATTCTGTTCCTAACCGTATTTATCTATCATTATGTACTGTTTTAATTATTATAATATGTATAAAGTATATTATTTGATACTATATATTTTCTGTCATTATGGTTTTTCAGTATTGTCTGTTTTCAACTGTTTATTCTTTTGGATGAATTTTTATATCAGTTCTTTGAGTTTAAAGAAAACCCTGCAACTATGTATACAACTATGTCATATTTATAAATTAAATAGGTAAAATTGAGTCTTTCAGTATTGACAAATCCCCATTCAGTCTCTCTCTCCACTCAAGGTTTTTTGGGTTTAAGCCTTTCAATATAATTCTGTTGTTTTCTTCACCTAAATGTGGCATGTCTCTTATTATTTTTCTAGATATTTAAATTTTTTTCTAAATAAGATTCCTCGCTGGTCATTTCTGTTATATAATCTTATTTACTTTTCAGGTTACAGAATACCTGTATGCTAATAAAATGGCTTTCCGGTACCCAGAACCTGAGGACAAGGCCAAGTATGTTAGAGAAAGAATATGGCGGAGTGAATATGACTCCATGCTGCCAGATATGTATGAATGGCCAGAATCTGGACAAAACCCTCCCGTGCTACCAGAATAGAAGCACCCACAAATAAATATTGTCCGTGCTTCAGGGAACCCCTCTTTTCAGACAAAAATATAATGTTCTCAAATTTATGGGTTTTTTTTCTGTGTTTTATTGTCCCCCACTGCTTTGCCAGACTTATTTTTCCCATGAATCTACACTTCTGTGTGGGTAGATGTGTCGACTACATTGTTAATGCCCACTGGCACCCTGCCACCAAATAGCCATAATGCGTTCATTCTGATTTGTAGCTCATACCACATCAAAGAGATGTTAAAAATATATTTTGAATGTCTTCACCTGTGCTCTTGATCACACTTGCCCAAGAATTTGCTATTTACTATTATTTATATATATAAAAGCCTAAGCGACCGAATGACAAGTTGACCACCAGGGGGCAGACGCTCAACACAGGAGCTGCCCCCTGGTCGTCAGTGCGCTCCCACAGCCAATCTCCTGCAGCCAGCCAACATCCCATGGCCCCTCCCCTTGCCGGCCAACCTCCTACAGCCCAATAGGCCCCAATCACCGGCCAGGCCAAGGACCCCACCTGTGCATGAATTTGTGCACTGGGCCTCTAGTAGGTAATAATCTTTCACTGAGCTCTTTTGAGGGCTACTAATATACTAACTGACTTCTGTGGAGATGAGCACACAGTATGAGGAAAAAGCCAAATTTAACCAAATTCTAAGGATAAATTGTCTATCTAAAATGTTTTTATTTATTTCTTCCTCATGCTCTGAAATTCCTCTCCAGTATATAGAGTTAGAGAAATATGAAAAATATACCCTATTATTTATTTCCTAAAACTAAATTAAAGTTTTACTATAACATTGTAAGAGAGAAATGGAAACTACTGCTGCCTTTAGACAAATAAAAAAAATAGTCATTGAGCCTGTAATAATGTCAACATTAAAACATTTAAAAAGTCATTGTTTTTAACAGTGTATAAAAATCATAGTGTAACTTTTTTATTTAATAAAGATAATAACTTCAATTTAATTGCTTCAATTATGCTATTTTATTGCTCAGGTAGAAATTTAGCTTTGCTTATTATGAAAAACACATATTTTCATCATCTTAATTTTGAGATAATTCTAAGGAGGGGGGTATAAGATGCATAAATTATGATTAACATCATGACTTTTAACAAATTAGATGTTTCACATCTAAATTGAGTCATATTTAACTGAAGAAGTCATACCCCTCTTCCAATAGTGATGCTCTACTTGAGATAATTTTGGAATATTCATTCCTACGAGACATTCCTTTGAATATCATTAGTGATAATTCTTTCTCCATTAAAAATGAATTTAATTTTTTGAAGCCATCAAAATTAATTTAGAGCCAAGTGGGATAAATAAGGTAGGTGTTCAGACCGTTTTTAATAGTCCATTTTCAACCCAGTAAAATTGATAATAATTGACTAGTGAGACCAGTTTTTTGTGTGGCTTACAAACTGGAGAGTTCTAAAGGAAAATCCAGAATCATTTTAAGAAGTAGTAGTATGGCTATATATGTGCCTAACACGGTTGCTTTGAAGGAACTAAATTTTTAAATGCCCATTCTACAATATTACTACAAAAAAGTATTCACAACTACTTAGCATGCACATTATTTGACATTTCTCTCCACAGTCCTTGAAATGGTAAATATAACGTTCTGTAGAGAAAAAAGGGCTTTGTATTTATTTTCACATTTTCCTCTACCTATAGCCAGAGATTAATTCACAATAATTTTGAGTAAATTCTTCATTTTAAGAATGCTCAAAATGTCATTGCCGTTTAAAATATGGGGAAATGCAAATCTGTTAATTTGTCTGTCAGTCAGAAGTCTGTTACATAAATCTGTTTCATAAAATAAGCAACTAGGTCACAATTGGTTTCTTTTAATTAAATATGAAAGGTTTATGTTTTTCATACTACCTTTGTCAAAACACAATCACTCCCAAAAATATTCTCTGAAATCTTGATTTTAGTTTAACATTATAAATATTACAAACCTGATTTGTGCTTGCTGAAGGTAGGAACATGCTGAATTTTACTTAGTAATTTGACTAAGATGTTCAGTTATTAATATCTCTAGTACAGGTCTCATGGGAATTATCAATATTTCAAGGGGAAAAAAAACAAGGCCAAAGAGCATATTGCTTTTTTAAATAAGAAATCTTATATGTATATATTTCTAAGCTACTTAATTCTCATTATGTATTATTTACCAACCAGTATTTTTTAATAAGTATTGGATGTAAAGTAATGAAACCATTTTTAATATTAACGCTAAGAAAATACAGGCAAGAATTCTCATCATGGTGGGAGGGGGTGGCATAATGGCATCAAATTAGAAAATAAGCTGAAACATTTGATTTCTATGGAAATATTTACCTAGAAAGGAGGTAATTGTTTTGAAAAACAGGAATGGAGAGTCATTTTAATTCTTTTGAGTAAAGAAATTCTGTAGATTAGCCTGTCAGAAATGATTAAATAGGAAAAAGTGATGACACATTTTTCTAATCTGGCAGTACCACCTGTGGTGTGAAACAAATTGGATAAATAGTGAGGGTAAGGTTTATTGACGATAGTGGGGAAAGTGTTAAAGATTTTGGTTAAAACCTTTCTAAAGGATGGATTCTTACCCAGAAAGTTGCCTCAGAATCACTGCGAAGCTTCTTTAAGAAGCTTCTTTAAAATGCGGAGGCCTCTGTCCCCTCCTCTGGGCCCCTGGACCCCCTGGGCAGAGTCGTGGCAGGTGTGTTCTCTGCCCTCCCTGTCACTGCCTTAAAGCAGGTTGTCTGAGTCTCCTGGAGAGCTGGCCCATTCCTCCTGTGGATGCCCTGGGTCTGGGGTGGGGCCCAAGATTCTGCACTTCTGACGAGCTCCCCGGTGATGCCCAGTGATGCCCGCGCTGCTGGTACAGAGAAGGCCCGAGTGGCATTGCTCCAGAGTCCGAGGTGGTGTGCATTTTGAGTTCAGTGCTCATAGAGTATGTACTGCACCTGAAAAAGATGACAAATTATGTTCTTACAAAGAATTGGGTCCACCTAATTCTGTTACGTATAGTTTTTAAAGGATGTTTATAAGAGCAAAAATGAATACAGAACTTTTAAACATTTTTCTGAAAAGGCATAACTTGAATACTGTTTAATTTCAAATTATTGATTTTACATGTACTTATTAAAACCTAGCAACCAGTTTTCATTTATAAAAGATTAGCCATCAAATGAATCTTTGTTTATTCTCTATTTTTGGTTGTCTCATGCTATGACTTAACCCTATCCTTTGTCTTTTCTTTCTCTAAATTTAATCAGCATCTGGAGAAATAAGATTTTGCATTCTCCTTTGCAAAGGAGTTACTAGCAAATTAATACCAATGCATAATCATTATTAAGGGGTGTGGGGCATTATTTACTGCTGAGAGATAACTAAGAAAGCCCAAAGGGGTGATAGGGGAATAGAAAAAGCCTTTAGAAAAAAATACTTCATCCAAATGCTTCTCTAGCTTTTTTCCTAAACCCATTCAGTATCCCTCAAAGATAATTTCTTCATACAGTTGAACAGCTCTAGTGTTCTGTTGAATTCACCAAAGTGGAATCATCTCTGTTGAGCATACATAATACATGAGAAATCCCAATGCTCTCTACTAGGGTTCCATTTAAAGCAGTGGTTCTCAACCTTCTGGCCCTTTAAATATAGTTCCTCATGTTGTGACCCAACCATAAAATTATTTTCGTTGCTACTTCATAACTGTAATGTTGCTACTGTTATGAATCGTAATGTAAATATCTGATATGCAGGATGGTCTTAAGCGACCCCTGTGAAAGGGTCATTCGACCGCCAAAGCAGTCGCGACCCACAGGTTGAGAACCGCTGATAAAGGGACTGTCCTAATGAATGAAGTAGAACCAATGTCATATTTCCTTCCCAGGCAGGATCACACCTGTTCCGGTGCAGGCACATTGTGACTCCATAGAAAGTCACATTCTATCCGGCTCTTGACTGATTTGTGATTTGCAATTTGATGTGCAACTAAACATTAAAATGAAAGAAATCCTCTACAGACAAGCTAAATAAAGTAACATCCTTAATATTTAAAACAGTCAAGATAATTCAACTGCAGAAAATTTACCGCTCATCAGACATGAGCATAAGATGTTTCCATTAAAGAAAAAAAATGCTTTTGTTTCAAAATTTTAATAAATTCAACCGGGACTAATTAGGACATGACTCTTAGTGCCTAATTCCTTTAATCCTTGCCAGGAGTTACTCAGATAAACTAGTGATTAGATTTTAAAACAATAATTATTTTCTTTTCTTGGACAAGGAAAATTATGCTTCTCAAAGAGAAAAGTAAGCCGGTGTATGATACAAAAGGTGATCCTAGTTCAATTGCATAAAATATACAAATGAAGGTAAATGACTTTGGGATGCTTTGCATCTTTTGCCAATAAACTTTCATATGGTTATTTAATCTTCCTTTTTTCAAATGAATACTTACTTGCCACTTTGCTGTTTGGGAAGTTATCCCCACATTCAACATACTTTTTAAAGTTTTAAGACTAAGGAGAAATCTATTCCCCAGTTTTCAGTATGTTGTAGAAAAATTGTTTTCCCTTTCCTAATTTTAAGTGTTTATTCTAGCAAATCATTGAAATATCACCAACATGTTAGGTAAGCAGTTAGTGAATAATGACAAACACATTTTATGAATAGCACCTACTCTGTGCCGGGCATTGTTCTAAGTATCCTACATGCGTCATTATGTTTAATCTTTACAATCACTTTTGTCGCCCCACCTGTTCTAGAGAGAAGGCCTCCAGGCCAGGCGCTCAGAGCCCAGGCTCTGAGCCTTAGCCCCTCTCAGGGAAGAAGGGCCTCTGTGCTAGATGATATTATCTGAATCTTAAATACCTTGTCTTCAAGAATTGTTATTTCAGATGACAATCGTCACCTATTCTTTTTATGTATTTTATTTTATGGTTAATCCTCACCTGAGGATATTTTATCCCATTGATTTTCAGAGAGAGTGGAAGGGAGGGGGAGAGACAGAGAGAGAGAAACATTGATGTGTCTGGTTGCCTCCCACACACATCCTGACCAGGATCCGGGATCAAACCTACAACCCTTCAGTCTGAGGGCCAACACTAACCACTGTGCAACCAGCCTATTCTTATTAGTCTCAGGTCCGTTTTAATGCACTTTACCAGTTCATTTGATTTTTACTTTGTTCCCATTTATAACTCAAATACAATGTAAACATTAGTCTTCAGCACTTTAGGTATTGCATAGTAACATAAAAGATGTGGTTTTGAATATGATAAATTACAACATTCTCAGTAGCCAGTTCTCTAACATCTTTTGATTTGGTCATCTTCACAGAACCACCAACTCCTATCATTTTGGGGCAAATTGGTTTCAGGAATCTGCCAAAGTCAATGTGAATTTGAATTGTAAAGTTTATTTTAAATGATATCTATTGTATTATATGCACATATATAACTTCTTTGTTAAAAGGTGAGAACAGTTAGAAAGTACTAATATGTATGTGTGGAATAAAGAATTTCTGAAGAGACCAATTTTAGCTAAATATTTGACCAGGTAAAATTTTTGCCTGAGGATTTATTATCTAATGACCTTTAAAACTAACTGAAATTAAAACCATATTTTTGCAATTGATATTGTGTTAACATACCCAGCTTTAATTATTGACTTCAAGGAAACCACAAGTTGCAAAAGTCACGGCTTAGCCTTTCTCACCTTTATATTTAAGATAAAGAGCCCAGCCGGTGTGGCTGAGTGGTTGAGCAGTGACTTCTGAACCAGGAAGTCACGGTTCGATTCCTGGTCAAGGGCACATGCCTGAGTTTCGGCTCAATCCCCAGTGGGGGGTGTGCAGGAGGCAGCTGATCAATGATTCTCTCTCATCATTGATGTTTCTATCCCTCTCCCTTCCTCTCTGAAATCAATAAAATAATATTTTTTTAAAAAAGATAAAGAGATGGGATA